CGGCCACGCTCGTACATGACTTGGTCCGAGTCGGTGGCCGTGTAGAGCTCGCGCAGACCGTGCGTAGAGGCGGCGTCGAGGAAGGCGCGCTTCCACGCAGCGACGTCGTCCCAGTCGGCGAGCACCGGCCCCGTGTAATGCTCAGACATGGATTCGCGGGATGACCAATTAGGATGTGTGGGAAATGCCGCCCGTGGATTGGTGTAAAAGTGCATTAATATTGCCTTTGGGCACCATGATTGGCTGATTTTGGCCAAATACAGCGCCCGCATTGGTCGAAAAGAATTAATTTCGCGATCCGAAGTTCGAAGCTGTCAGATCGCGATCTTCGCGCAAGCAAGCGTTTTGGCGCTGCCACGTCGATATCGTATCTTGGGTGCGAGTGAAAGAGGTGATGCCTGTATCGATCGAGCTGACGGATCAGTCCGTCAAGAGGCCTTTACCACGGCCACAGTAGTAGTAGATTTGACTCGAGTCCTTAGTTGCATGAACTCGATCTCTTCCTCGCTGAACGACCTGGCGGCTGCTGTATTCAACGACGACGACGATGTCGAAGTCGTGTTTGCGGCGGCGCTCTGGCTCGGCACGGCGGTCGACGATGGCGCTAGGCATGTATTTGTGTCGATACGATGCACATCACAAGGCGCCGAATGCAGAGACAACGACTTCAGCGATATTTCCGACAATAGCGAGAAGGTGCGGATCGTTCTGCGGACACCAAAGCCTGTGGCAGCCTTGTGCCAGGTTCTGGGAGACCTGGAAGGTGCCATGACTACGAGTCCTTTGCGTGGATGGTGTCGATGGCACACCTTGCGCGAACGTTCCACGCTGAATACTGCCCTACTCATTAGTCGATAGGAGAGGCGTAACTCGAACGCAGCTCTGGCGCATATGATTATCAACAAATGCTGTACCCAGCTATTCGCTGTACATTCTTGGCGTGGGAGTACGAGTGGAGAGATCGGTGTCGGGTGGGCGACTCACAACTCGCGCCTGTGGCGGTGTCGACCCAACGAAAACACAAAGCGCCTCTATGCACTCAAGTTGACGAGTTGGC